TTTGTTTCTTTGAAGTAATTGGGGTTTTTAAAAAACTCAGCCAGATCCCTAATTTAAGAGCCCATGATTCATGTGAGACATTGTTAGTTTCTTGGTTTGGAAAAGGGGCTATTGGTTACCATGAAACAGTAGGCATAATTTCATTAAAGAAAAGGTCATTATAAATTTTGTTCTTGATATCACAACTTTGTTTTTAACCTCCTTTTCTTTGTTTGGTTTTTTATTTTTTATTTTTTTTGGTACCAGGGATTGAACTCGGGTCCTTGCGCTTGCACAGTAGGCAGTGAAACCACTGAGCTAAATCCCCGGCCCTAACCTCCTTTTCTGAAACAAATGGACAATGGTTGATGTTTTAAATACTGGTGAATTTACTTTTTCTGGAAATGGCTTCTGTCAAGTGGCAATAGTTTTAGGATAATACAATGCAAGGAGCTGACACTGTACAGCACTTCATTGAAAGACATTAGTCAGGATGGATGTCTAGCTACCTACCTACATGTCTCGGAAGTGTTTATCTTCAAAGAGCAGAACTTATTGGTTCTGTATATCACCATCAGTGGAAAGGCCTTTTCTTTAAATTCATCTGTTCTATCACATAAACTAGTTTTCTTTTGAACTAACTTTCCACATTATTCTTTCTGTAGAGTAATATAAGAATAGAAGCAAAGTTCAATTTATTGAGAATCTCCCAGAGAATGATATGGAATTAATTATGAAATAAGCTATGTGTGATTAACTTGCAGGTCGGACACTGCTCTTCCCATAACCCACAGCGTCACTGTGTGAGGTAATGAAGGGATGGCTTTCCATGTGGGGGTCCGAGGTCGTGGAAAGAGCAAACAGGGCTGTGCATCTGAGTCTCCAGAAATGTCTGTTACAGAAGCCAACACAGTCCTGGGAAAAGTGAAGCTCGAAATCTCTCAAGTCTAGCAAGTGTCTTGTACAGAGCAAGTGCTCACTTGGTATTAAATAAGTATCGTGCACAGGTGGTTGGTAGGACAGTTTGTCATCTTGCAGTGCAGGACAAGGTGATGTAGACCTCACCTGCTGGGCACTCTGGGGTCCCAGCGCTGAATGAGATGCTGTCCACTGGCTTCCCCAGCACGCAGGTCTGTGCAGCACACTGCACACCTCCCTGCCGGTGTCTCCCACTGGCTGGCGACCCCTTCAGGAGGGAGGACTTTGGTCTCTACAGCCCTGCTCCCAGTCAGTGTCTGGTGCAGCAAGAGCCTCAGTTTGAGTTTGGGGAGGGGGACAGGTATGGCTCAGGGGGCTGATCCAGTTCAGCTTCCAGGTTACTTGAGTGCCTGATGGAAGGAAAGGGCTCCGAGGGCTATGACAAACTTTGCAAATATTATGATTTTGTCCAGTGTTTACTGAAATAAACATTTTATGGTCAAGTGTTTAAGTAGGGGAACTATTTCACCCCACAGTCCATTGTTGTCACTCTGTGATGCTGTCCCTGGTCTTCCCATTCCCTACATCACAGCTGACTTGCACTGCCTCTGTCCCTACTCCCCCTGCACAGCACACTGCAGCACAGCCACAGTGGCACAACACGGTCTCAGGGCAGGCCTTGCATCACCACTTACTGCCTCGGGGGCCCAGAGCAAATTACTTTGCTTCTCTGAGTCTCATTAGTCTCTGCTTGTGGATCATGATGAGGGTCAGGTGACACAGAATGCATAGAGCCCACAGCCCTGCACCTGGCAGGCAGGAGACACTCAATAAATGCTGGCGAACCTTCATCCTTTTGTTCCTCTTTCAGCCCGGGAGGTCAGTCCCTGCCATCCTCCTTACCTACTTTACACCATACTTACTGATCCTTTAAGGCCTTGTTCAAAGACCACCTTCTCTGCAAAATATCCTTTCCCAGTAAAAGCAGCTTTCCTCTCCTGGCATGTGTTGTATTCTGATCTCTATTTTCTGGTGTCTCAGCAACTGCTGTGTGGTATTTCTCCCCTGGTCTCTACATCCTATGGGAGCAAACTGACTACCTTTCAGTCTATTTCCTCAAAGCACCTAGCAGAATAACTCGCACACAGTGTTTAAAACAATGGCCTGAATATGCTCAGGAAAATTCTCTTTGTTTAGAAATCATCACTCAATTCTTCTTTGGCTTCGGGATTCTGTTTGGTCCACTTAGGGAGGGGAAAAAAGGCTTCACTGTAAGTATCTGACCTCACACAGTGTCCAGAGAATTCCTGGAAAGTTATAAAGAACTTGTACACTACTCTCTTTTTAATGACTACTCACATAAGCAATCATACTTAAGTCTTGCTTAGGGGCTAGTCACAACTCTAAAATTGTGAAAATGCATAATTGGAGGGGAGATATCCCAAAGACTAGCTAGCTCACAGTTATTGCCCTTTATTGTACTTCCTTAAATTGCACAGCATGGAAGGAAATAAATCACAGTTAGGATTATTATTTTACAATGAGAAGGGAGAGACCCTTGAGAATTTGAAGAAATTATGCCTAGTGAATGTCAGATTTGAGGCCACTGACCTGGCTTTGTCTTTTTGATGGAATCCCAGAATTGGATTTAAGCCAAACCTGGCTTGTTGTGGAGGTAGTTGCTAAAGGTGATTTGAAGTGGCTGAGCCCCTGTTCCAAAATACCCTTTCTACTGGTACCTGAGAGGGATTTCCATGTGTCCGGAGGATTTTTTAATTTTTCAGAGGTTCCTGTTCCAAGTGAAGAATTAACCTGAGTTAGCATCCCTGCAATTGTTGCTTGGGCTCCGATCACAGAAGGAATGAGTTCTCTGATCACAGAACCCTGGGAAACCCTGCACAGTCGACCCCTGTCTACAGTTTACTACAGGATCTGGGCTCAGGAACATGCTAAAGGCCCCAAGAAGGCATGTGGTAGAGAAATTTGTTCGACTTAACTCAAACCTTTTCACTTATTTACCTATGGAATTAATATTTTCTTTTCTCGTCAAATGCCTAGTGACTTTGTATGAAACTAGTATTTCATGGAATATACTGTAGATGTGCTGCTTTTACTATTAGTTGTCACCATAATGGGGATGAACATTCAGCTGGAAATGGGACATGATGGGACATGCATGAAGGGATGGGAAGTCAAGAAGGATAAGGAGAATTAAAGGGACCATTGAGGGCCTTCAACATCCTCTGATGGTTTTGCTAAGGGCCATCTTGGCTCTCGTTCTAGGCATTATTTTGACTTTGCTTTCTTGCTTCAAAAGCCCAGTCATTATTAAGTGATGTTATGAGACTGTATCATTTTTGCATCTTCACGTGATCTCAAATTGTCTAGCGCTATAGGACAGAGGAAGGGAGAGAACATTATTGGACAGCAATATTTTCTCAGTTGGGAAAAGAGGAAGGAAAGGAGCAGAAGAAGGGGGAAAGGGACACTGGGATGACAGGAGACAAGAGGTACTGGTAGTGGGAGTTAAGAGTGGAAGTCAGTGGACAAGATGGTGTAGTGAGAGACAGTGAAAATTTATGACAGGTCAGGTAGGAGCGAACAGGGCAAGCCAGGGCAAGCCAGGGATAAAATAATAACTGGGCCAGGTGCCTTCTTTTAAGAATGCTCTATCTCTCCTCTAATGGTAGGATACTTGTTCCTATCTGTAGTAATCTGCCCTTGGCTTCTCATTACCGAGGGTCCTAACCCCCCTCCTCATTGTTGATAGGGCCCAATACAAGATCCTATTAGTGGCCTGCTACTTTAAAAAGAAGCACAGTTAACTGAAAGCACAGGGACGGCCAAAGAGAAGGGCTCAGATGCTGCGTGGAAGCCAGAGTTGGGAGGGACTTGGAGGGGCTTCTTCTTACTCAGGGCTGTCAGATGGTCCACTTCATTTTTTTTTTCTTTTTTTTGGTACCGGGATCGAACTCAGGACCCTGTGCTTTCAAGGTAGGCAACAGCACCATTGAGCTAAATCCCTGGCCCTTATGGTCCACTTCTTGCATGCAAAGCAACTGGGACATCTTTGGTAAGCTAAGGCAACTTAGAAATACTGGAAGCTGAAAGCAAGATATGCAACACATTTGGGAATTTCTCTCTCATGTTCAAGGATAAAATTAGCTGCTTCACCTACCAGAGTAACTTCTGTATAAAGCATGTAAAACCCCCAAATGTTTTCATAAGTTGCAAATACTATATATTATTCAAAAGGTGGAGGATATTTGGGATAGAATAGGGGATAAGACAATAAGACAACTCCCTTTGCAAGAATTCATAGTTTTCAAATTGCTGCTCCATGGAGAACTTAATGGAGAACTTAATTCACAAATGTGAATCTACCTGGGAAGAAGCTGTCCTCTGGGATAGCATCTTGCCTAGAATTCATTTATAAATACATTTTAAAATAAATCTCTCTTCAGGGAAATGGTCAAGTGATATTCTCAACTGCACAGAATGAGATCCTTGATACAGACAGTTCTGCTGGCTAAAATGGTGGCCCTGGAATCTAACGTTCTTTTCTGAGTCCACAACAGCTGTAGGGTCAGAGGGCATGAGCTCACAGATCTCTGTATCATGATCAGGTCTTAGGCTGGTTCTGGGTGTATGAAGTTACTCCAGATCTCTCATTTCTTTGCATAAATCAGAATCCCACCAAACCTAACCAGCCTCTGGAATCAAGAGCACCTCAGGAGCATGTTGGGTGGATGTGTTTTTATATGTTGTTTGGAGCCTGCAGGGGAAATAAACAGTGCTGACCTGGTGGGTGTTTGCTTGCGTTCACATTATTGACACCATTTCTCTGAGTGTGATATACGATTGGGATGGTTTGGTTTGTTTGAATGGAATAACATGATTACCCATGGTTTTGCACGTCTCCAATTTCAAATAAACACAATGGCAAAAACTAGACAAAAACACAGAACAAATAATAAATCACACAATGTCACTGAAGTCATGCAAAGAGGAAAAAAAGGTTAAAACATGGGCAAGCAACAGACATCATAAATGAAGAAAAGAAAACAAAAAGCCAATGCATACAATTCTAAAATCATTCTTACCTTCTTCAGTCATTGTGTCATAATATTTTAGTTTTCCATATGATCCAAGTTCTACAACATCACAGTAAAAGACACAGAGATAAGGAACGAGCTATAATGCAAGAACTTTGTTTTTACACATTCTTAATTAATCAGATTCAGAGTTATACTGTCAAATTCTGCAATTGTAACTATATGGAGATGTGCAAACATGGGCCATGTGGCAGACAGCTTTCACGGCCCATTTTCAGAAATCACTTAAAATATATTATTCTACTGAGGGTAGGATGTGCCCTGCATTATGGAAGAGGACACAGTTATTTTAACATCCAATGAAACAAAATACTTGGTAAAAACACTCCATCCAACCCTAGCCTAGCCCTACAGTTTTATGTGGGTGACACTCCAGGAGCAGAAGACTGAAAAAGTCCGATGACCGGGCCCGGAAGCCTGCAGACACAGGGCTCCTTGCCACAGATGAGGAGCCCCAGCTGCTCACTTCACAGCTTCTTTCCGACAGAGACCAATTTCTAGGGAACAAGGAAGCTACCTGGGAAAATCCAAGATGGAAGACCAGAGCTTAAACCTCCCTTCACCCTGTCTCTCCTGTTTCAGAAAACAGAGTGTCATGCGTGCAGTGTGCAGGGAGGGCTGTGAATGGTGCCAGGTGCTCTGGGAGCAAGAGTGAGTCGTATTCCCGGGGACAGCCACCTGGCTCAGATCTGTGACAGCTCCCAGATCTAGGCTTCACCTGCACGCTGCAAACAGCAAGGCGGAGGTAGGACCCACAGCCCCTTCTTGGAGGGCAGGGGTCCCTAGGGCTGCTGCGGTGGAAACCACAGGCAGACTTTGCTGTTCTCACCAGGAGTGGCAGCTGGGGTGTGGGGAGAGGAGGCAGGACCCAGCACTTATCTTTTCTTATGGCAGCTTTGAAATGGAAATTTTTACCTTTGTTCATACAAAAATTCCAGATTGTTTTGAGCAACATTGTGAGCAGGTTAAAAATATTTTTCTGGTCATGACAACACTTTCCCAATAAATTATAAAAAATTAATTAGACTCAAGAGATATTCCTGTGATTCTGCAGAATGCTTCCATGTCTCATTAACTGGGGCAGATGCTGGAAATCCACATACAAATCAACTAATAATGAGTTTGTGTACAACATGAAGAATCTAGCTTAAACCAGTAATGTATTATATCCTTATTATACATTCTTATATATTCTTTTCCCCACGCGCTTAAAATTTTACCTAAAGACATTTTAATACACCACCACAAATTTTCCCTTGGGGAGAAAAATCACCTTATTATGTTTCTGCAAAAATCTGCCTATTGTCAATTTTGTTAGGTACATTACAAAAGATGCAGGTGTTTCAATAAGAAACTGAATTTTGTGTAAGAAAAAAATTTTCATGGGTTCTGGGGAATGCCTTCAGTGGAATGTCTATTTCTTGTATTTTAAGAACAGTAATCTATTATATATACAACATTGCACAAGTTTGGAATTCTTAAGTGATCTAAATACCTTCATAAATATTAAACACGTTTACAGTGGCTTCACACATGTTTGTGTGTATGTGTGTGTGTGTAAAATCTTGCAGTAAATTGATGGATTATATCAGCCAACTAATTATTTGTAGCCTTTTTTCCTTACCCCAAGTAGAGCAGGGGAATAAGCAGCTGGCATTCACTGTTATTTGCTCAAGAACAGACTGTGGGTGGTTTTATATCTGTAATGTTGGCTATAAACCAGACGGTGTACACTGAAGATATACCCTTGCATTTTTTATGGGTCCATCTTTTTGATGCAAACCTTTCCATATGTACACACCTGTTTTCATGTATCAATCACAAACTGTCAAACATCCATCTGTGGCAGACGATATTGTTCTTAATCCCATATCACAAGAGAATCAGGTATAAATAAATAAATAAATATAATCATATTGTTGTAGTATCAGTTTATGTTTACATAGTCAGAATTGGATCTGTTCATGTTCAACAAATGCATACATTCTTGCCACTGGGGCAATGTCTACATTAGCTGCTTCCTTGGATAATTAATGGGACAGAAGGACAAAAAATTGAGCACAATATACCAAAAAATGAGGCTGACAATGGTGGAGTAAGAGTAGTGCAAAGCTGCACAATGACATGGCAACTCGAGGCACAGCAATGGTGAGATGGAAGGGAAGAGTATCTGCCCAAGCAAAGGCAGCCATGTGGACAGCTTACAAAGAGAGGGCAGAAAGGAAACCAGCCTGGTAGGATGTAATCTTCAACAAGGCCAGGAATGGGATGGTAAGATGGCAAATTCATCCACATCCCAAGGAAGCAGGGTACGACCACCGGGAGCAGGCAGCCCTCCCTGGAATCAGAGCCTTGGAAGGTACAGAACAAGAGAGACATGTGACTAGGACAAACATAACATGCACGCAGATGCCAAGCTCATCACGCACCTGGCTGTTGCCCTAGAGCCCATGGTTACCTCCTAGAAAGTGGCCTTGGCCACTGTCTGCTCACAGCCTGCCCAGGCCTCGCCTGGCTGAGAAGGCTTGGGAGGTTTGAATGAGAACTCACCTGTGCAAGAACATGGCTTCCAATCAGCACATTCCCTATGGCAAATAACCAGGACACCCCAACTTAACTGAATTAGGATTCAAACCAGGCTGAGGCTAAGCTGAACTTCTTCAGTATGAGAAGGAGGAAGCTCAGAAGTTCAAAGTCATTTTTCAGTCCCATCCGGCCATGTTCACTGTAGCAACTGAGCAAGAGGCAACCAGGATTGGAGAAGTCATATAAGATGCTATTCAGGGTGCAACCTGGGGCCTCTTCTCTGTAACATTTCTCTATGATTAGAGAGAAAACTTCAGAACCCAGTGCTTGGTGTTGGAGGTGAGCCTATTATCTGATCATGAAGGCTGCCCAGCATGACAGGTGTACTTGCTTTCAGGCCGTTTGGACAGGTGGGACACACGTACTCACTTTTAGATTTTGAGGGGGATTGAACCTTTCATTAGTTCTCTGTCCATTTCTTTCTGGTCTTGTCAACAATCTCCCTACCTGGCTTAAGTTACCTTTGAGTTCTTGTCTGTACTTTATAATTAACAAAACCAAAATAAGGGTCTTGTTTCGAGTCTTAAAGAATCTATAAATAGAAACTAGTATCACAGGTTCCTAAATTCCTTTGTTGAGAAGTACAGGGACACAGATTTTTCCTTCCAACATTGCTTTTCTCAACTGCACTTCTGAGGCTTTTGGCATTCTCAGTACCTTTCCTGCAAATCCCAGAAGTGGGAGTAGCAGAAAAATGACTTCTCAATTTGAGGCCTCAAAAGTCTGATGTAGAAAAAGTAAAATCAATAGACAGATCCATGCTGAGTTCATTTTATTAGACTGAAAAATAGAGGTAGAGAAATCAATGAGAGCAAGAATTTATTATTTAAATGTTAACTGATGAGAAAAATGATTTCTTTTTTCAAAGAGCAGGTTACTTTTGGTATTTGTTTGACCTGTGTGTGAAGACATAAAATTAAGCCTTTCTCAATACAGAGAGTACAGTAGTTTCTTGGTAAAGCTGTCTAATACTTATCAAGGAGATGTGTACAAATACCAGATCCTTCGAAGATTACTTTCAGTAGTGCATGGAAGTTAAGAATATGGGCTCTGAAGTCAGGGGTGTAGGTTTGGACCCAAGGTCTTCCACTTAGTAGATGTGCGACTTCAACCAAGTTGTTTTTCCTCTGATCCTCAGAGTCCTCAACTCTAAAGGGACATTGTGATTGTATCTGCCTTATAAGGTGTCAGGGAAGGGCAGACAAGATGACACACTAAGCAATAAATATGAAAAGCTGTCATTATTGCAGGCATCATAAAGAAGTGAAATAGAGAACCAATCAACCAGGAGTGGGCTATTTCAAGAACTTGATGTTTTTATTCAGGCTTGTTAAAACAAATTCAACACTATTTAAAGAGGTTTTAAGTAGGGATTGTTGTTCAACAGCAAAAGACATTGTGCCACACTGTGGCCAGTATTTTAAAAATATTCCTTCATTAATCCTGTCTGTCTAAGACCCAAGGGGAATCAAAACGTGGAGGATGGCCAGGGAGCAGGATATGAAAAGTGGGCCCTGCATTTCCTGGCCTGTCAGAGTTCCAGCCTGGAACTGAGATGCTTTCCCTTGTAACACTTGCTTGTGAGCTCTTCTCTCCAGCTAGCCTGTCTACCATGGGAGGCACAGATCATTCTTCTTTAGATCCATCCCGCCAGAACACAGAACTGTGCTGTTCTCACATCACTTGCTTGCCACACATTTCTTAAATTAAGTATTCAGATGCACGGCTCCCAAATGACAGTGACATGCAGAATGCATGTGCATGTTGTGCTTCTCTGGACTTGCTGAAGTCAAGAAACCTGGCCCTGATGTCTGAGGCTTTTTTATTGTGATGTTAATTACTATAAAGGTTAAGAATGCTTCTGAGTCACAGTCAGCTAATTCACAATGTGGCTCTACTACTGATGAGCTGCATGGCCCTCTCTGAACTTCAATCCTTTCTGTAAAATGAGGAAAAATGCAATAAATAACTACTAACAGGAACAATAAATACCTACACAGCACTTTGCAGTGGGGTGGTACAAACATATTTAATAACTGGTCCCTCTCTTTATTGTCTGCCAAAGGTCTGCTACGAATATCTAAGTCAGCTCAGCGCAAGGCAGTGAAGTCCCACTGATGGAAGCACCAATTCCCACATTGGAAGCACCAATGATCCCCCTTGGTGGGCGTCAATCCATACTCTGACACATGCAAGTCATCAAAAGCCCCTGCCTTCTTCCCTCCAACACAGGAAGACTGTTGGAAGAAAAACTCTCCATCTGCTTGCCATAGGCTGTCTTGTCTAACTTTCAGAACCATGTTTTGCAATATTAACATTTTATTCTGAGCATAAAGGGCTTTTTTGCTTATTTTGTAAATCTCTGAACTTATTTTATTATTAAGTAAAATAGTTTGTTTTGAAGTTGTGTAAATAGTGTGAAAGCTGAATATTTGTAATTTCACACTTCTTCA